TTCTATTTAAACAAAGTATATATATAATTTCTTGTCGTCTAAAGATAGCTATTGCACAATAATAGGTAATATTGGTACTTCCCAAAAACGTAAAATGATTATTTTATTGTTCATTTTTTTCTGCTTGGAGCCTTCTCTTTCTCGTATAAAGCCTTCTATTCACAACTCTTTAGCAAGTAGATGGAATTAGCATAAAGTACTTTGCGATTCGTGTCGTACGTATATATATATATATATATATATATATGTATAATGTATATAAATACTTCATGTAAATAAGTACGAAAAATCCACAAAAAAAAAAAATAAAAAAAAAAAACAACAAATAAACATTTAAAAAAAATATTTCTGGAAGAAGTAGAACAAAATAACCTTAAAAACAAACAACTAGAACAAATGTATTCGGCCACGTATATTTTACAGAAACATAAAATAAAATAATTTTATTCCATATTCGTCTCAGGTAAAAAATCATGATACACTCTTATAAATATAATTCATTATTTGATATAACTAATCATATGTGGAATATGCACACTTTATCAAGACGAAAGGCCATTTAAAATATGAAACAATATTGTGAAATATGAGGTTACTAAGCTATTCAAATGATACTAAATGTTATATGACTCATTCTTATCACACACATCCAGGACTATCAATCGGTGGGCAAAAAGGTGCGCGAAGTAATGTGGCGCCGCGGCTACTATGAATTCATTGCCTTTGTGAAGAAGCATTCGCATAAGCAGGGCATCGATGCGGAGCACATGCAGAAGCTGGAACGTTTTCTTTGCGCTGGCATCTTCAACTACAAGCGTCTCTCGGCCAAAATGGAGGAGATATACGATCTGGACTTGAAATATTTAATTGATTTTTCCATTATAAGTGAGGGCTACATCAGCGACTATATAAGCGATACGGCAGCCGACAAGGAACTGGAACCATCCCAGGCCGCTGTCGATAAGAGCCTGGAGGCGGTGTCCTTTGCACTGGACACCATACACTCGTCGCTCTTGAGCTTGGGAGATTTGCATCGCTATTTTCTGGACTTTCGCATTGACAGCCAGCTAAGCCTGAGCATCAGCAAGGAGCAGGTGGCCAAGTATTATCTGGAGGCCTTTAAGCTAAATCCAGCTATTGGCATGGCCCAAAATCAGCTGGGCACCCTGTACTATGGTCAGAATTATGATCTGGACTCGACCTATCACTATTTGTACTCGCTGGTGTGCATTATACCCTTCGAGCTGAGTGAAAACAATTTGAATAAACTGTTCGCCAAGCACACGGAATATCTAGAGCAAATGGATCCAGCTAAATTGGAATTCAACATTGAGGATTTCTTTGCACGCTTTTATCTAATTGTTGACATCTTTTTCTTTGACAAGGAGGTGCCCGATTTTAATTCTCTTTGCCACTGCGTGCTCATCGATTTGCGGAAGATTCTGTGCGCCCAACAGCTGCGCGTGCCCGAGCCAAGCATTTTCAAGATAATCTCCATATTATTCTTTTGCCTGTCCAAGCTGAAGATGATTAATTCCCCCAAGGTGTATTCCCTGCACGCCTTCCTGGTGGCCGCCTGCTCGGATCTGATGGATGCCTGTATTGTTAACATAGAGCAAACGATTTTAGCACGCGCCGCAGACAATGAATGTTTCCAGGCGGCGTACGAGCAGCGATTCCAAGAGTTTGATACCACGGTCCGTAAGTCGCGCAACGAGTACAAAAACTGGCTGGCCGCCGTGGGCGAATGCGAACGCAAGGATAAGAAATTGATGGCTCGTCCGCATTCACTAAAGGATTGCAGCTCAGATTCACGGGACAGCCAGCACTCGGCGGATGAGGGTTGCGCCAAGACACAGGAGGCAGCCGACACAGACAAATTGGGCGGCACCGAGCCCATCTCCACGCGTTCCAGCGATGAGGCCAAGGAGAGCGATCTGAAGACCCCGCTCTCCTGCAAGAGCAAGCGCCGTGGCATGCGTCTGCGTCGACGTCGTCGCAAGATTGCCCAATCGGACGACAGCTCCTGCTATGACAGCGAGAGCGACATGGACACGGACTTTTACAGCGACGAGGAGGACTACACAGATTTAAGCTCCAATTTCGATACAGATTTCAGTGACATTGACGCCGGTGAGCCCGATGAAACGCCAGCAGGTGAGTCAATAATGCCAAGAGGGACACTGAGGTTAGGAAGTCGACTAGCGTATACCCTGTACAAGAACTTAAAAATAATTTAAGGATCTAATTCTTTCCCCAGTCACAATGGACAATTCGTTCTTATAGAAGAACGAGGAGGAAGAGGAAGATTTGTGTTTGTTGTCCGATCGTGTTGAAATTGGCAGTGCTTGAAATTAGCGTTCCTCTGCAACTACATAGCAGAAATGCAATAAATTATACGCATTTTGTATTCTATATTTTATAATACATATCTAAGAAGCATATAGTTAATGCCGAGCATGCTTAAGATATCTTGAAAAAAAAGTTGTTCATCCAGGAATCGTAATTTCGACTGATCGTCAGCTATATGATATAGTGGTCCGATCTAGCCGGTTCCGATATATGTACTGCGTCTCCTTCCATATGTTGGACATATATAAATTGGAGAAGTACCAAATCGGCGGACGTTTCAGCGGTAAATGTTAATCATACTACCCCGGATCGGAGAGGTCTTCGAATTATTACATACACCTGAAAAACTTCATAATAATATACATATTTTTTATTGACACTTCTTAACGATACTTTAAAAACCGCTTACAGCTGAATATGTCAAAAAGGAGCGCTCAGCACGTCAGCCGGCCGGCGCCCGTGTCTACTCAGACAGCGAGGATGTGGTCATTGAGGAGGAGCGTCTCATCTATCCCGAAGATCTGGAGCGTCGACCCAATTCGCAGGAGGCCGACTCGGAGGAATTGCTGCGCAGCTTCGAAGTGCTGCAGTTGAACTTCAAAAGCGCTGAGGATACCAAAGCAGCTGCCGCTGACTTGCCCACGGCCAACATGGTCGGCGACACAAATGTGCCACCTGTTAGCATGACGGAGCCCCCAAAGAAACTTGTCTATCGCAACAAGTACACAAAGATTAATCCGAATATTATAATCGATTGCCTGCATAATGAGCCGACTATACGTGCCCTGAAGATGCTATTCGACTGGCTGCGCATCAATCCAGAGATCCTTATTGGCTGCTATCATTCCAATCCGGAGTTCGTGCACAAGATTATGAAGCTGTTGAACTACTGCAATATCGATGTATTCACCCGAAAGGTTTACTTTGAGCGGGAGCTGCTGACTACCAGCAATGTGCGCGAAGCTCTGGTCGAGCTGTTCGATGTGCGGGCCAATGTGCCTCTGAGCGAAGATTTCGCCTTCAAGAACTTTGACATATTCCAGAGCACACAAATCACCCTAGACTGGGAGACTATAATCAGGGAGCGTGTTACGCCCCAGGAGGAGTCCATATTGCGCATCTTCAAGATGGTCGATTTTGGTTTCTTCATTTGCAAGCAGAAAAAATTCAATTATCGCTTCTGTGTGAAGACCCGTCGCTTCACCGAGAACCAGAAGAAAAAGCGCGAGGAGAAGAAGGGTGGGTGCTCGCGTCGACGCGAACGTCGTACGGCACCGAAGACCACCCGCAAGCGGAACGAGGGACGCACCCGTCGCTACTCGGATCGCAAAAACGGCATCGTACGTAAGAGCTATACCAGCAACGAGGAGAAGGACACAGTTGAGGAGTGCCGCAAGCTGCCACGCAAGGGCTACTTGCGCAATCGCAATGCGGAAAAGGCAGCTGCTGTTATAGCCAGCGCCACGGGAACCTCCGTAGCGGGCGGCACCTCGGCCTCCGCCTCGACCACCACGAACAGTGTCATCGAGAAGCTCAATTTGCAGTCGAGCAGCGGCGCCGATGAGGAACGTTCCGAGGCCAAGACAAAAAAATGCGAAATAATGGGCAAACTTTGGCTGCAGAACGAGGTGGAAGCGTTGGAGGAGGAACTGCGAGACAGCACCACCCACGTGGTCATGTCGCCATTTGTCGTCGTGGATGCCAAGGCCCTAACCGAATACAATGGCATTGTAAAATCGCTGGTCAGAACCAAAAAGTGCATTGTGCTCATACCCAATGCTGGTGAGTGACGGCTTATTGTTGGTATCTCCATGAAGCAGCAGCTAATCCATGTTATTCTATTCCTCTAGTGCTCAATGAGCTGGATGAGCTTAAGAAGCGCAGCGAGAATGTGCGCCATGTCATACGTTGGTTGGAACAGGAGTTCAAGCATGGCAATCGCCATCTGCGCGCCCAGCGCGACAATGAGAGCCAGCCCCTGTCGCTGCTCAAGATATCTCGCAAAATGGGTGAGTGAGGAATAAGGGCGGGAGTTTCATAAAGTTTGGATTTGTTTGCTAATTGTCGTTTGTATCTTTAAAATAGATCGCGATGCCTCGGTTTTCCTACAAATCGCCCAGTTCTGCAACCATCTGGTGGCCAATCATGCCGATCCGCATGTCAGCGAGCTGCAAAAGAATGTGGTTACCTATTTGTCCGGCGATAATCTGCACGAGAAGAATCGCCAACAGCAGAATTTCAGCTATACGGGCATACTCGATTCGATACCCGTGCGCTATGCCCAAATCCAGAGCTTCTATGCCAAATTTAAGGCCAACAAAAAATGAGTGAGCCGTAGCGGACGCTAGGTGGCAAATGCATGGCAAACAGCAGATGCAAATTTATAAATGCAAGAGGATGTGCAAAGCGTGTGTTCACTGTACAACCACAACAAAACGACATGGAGTTCCAAGTTAACGAAAAGTTTCTCTCAGACGCGGCCCAGCGGGGGCAACAAAAACGGCAATCAAACAAGACCAACAAAAAAAAAAAAAAAAAAAAAAAAACTAAAAAAAAAAAACAAACAAAATAAACAGCAGCAGCAGCAGCAGCAGGTTGTTAGCTTCTATGTTGTTGTTGTTGTTGATTGTTGTTTGTTGTTTGTAAATTGTTGTTGTTGTTGCTTCAAAAGAAATCCAACCCAGCAGCAGCATCTAGAGCAGCAGCAGCAGCAACAACAACCGCTGCAACAACTATTGTACAATGGGGTCCGGCTCATGCGGCAGCATTGCGTGGAGTTTGCTTGTTGTGTTAGACAGAAAAAAAACCCAGAAAACTAAAAAAGAAAAAAATCTAAAATCAAATCGTTTACTTTCAACTCAAACGACGACGACTCTCAGCTAACTTATACGGATAAATGGCCAAGGATAAACAAAGAAAAAAAAATGAAAAAAAATCAAGCAAAAAAATATCTAATTGAAAAATTTCATGATCCAAGCTTAAAAAAAAAAAACACAAAAAAGAAACATTTAAGAACCCTCCCGAGTTTAGCCAGAAGGCGTTTACGGATCATTTCAAACCCGGAGCCTCGTTTCGAGTGCGGCGCATCGTATGTATCCCTTCATTAAGCGCATATGGTAGAGCGCGTTTCTAATTGAACCCCCCTTCATGAACCATCAGCAATCCCCCCTCTTCCCATCCACAAACCCGGAGGCACATACATACAATATATTCCTGTTTGGGGAATATATGGTTATTGAAGCTATGGTCAAGAAACCCTCCTTCACCTACTCCGGAACTTTTGTTTTTAATTAACCCTTCAACCCAGTTTAACGTTTCCCATACGCGACGGAGAATTCAGTTTTGCCCAAGCCTATCATAAACAATTTACAAACTATATAAAACATATATAACAATTAATCTTAAAATTGATAACATAAACTCATTTGTCGGACAAACGTGTGTAATACTGTAGTAAAAACAAAGAAAAGTATTAAGATCTATCTAATTACGTACACGTATTTCAAACCATTTCTATATACTTTAAAAACTTTCGAGAAAAAAACCTAAGTGTAATATCTTTTAAAATGAAATAAAGTTTCCGACAAATAAATATTTTGTATTTTTTTAATGTTTAAAAAATTCATATTGCAGGCATTTATAAGTTTTGGTTTTAGGATTTTTAACTGTTGATTTGAAGTTTTGTTGGTGTTTTTTTCATAAATCAAGACAATTAAAATTGAAAATCTGATTTGAAACAAAAAGAAACTAAAAACTCCCATTTCCTCATTTGTTTAACCAAATATAGCTCCAGACTCAAATTATGTGCTCACAGTTCTTGAAACACTTTTTCGGCAAATAAATAATATAAAGTAGTTTGGAATAAAAATAAGATCGTCTCGCAGTTTTAATAATTATCAAGTTGTGGTAAGTAATTATTTATGTCAGCTGTATAATATTTAAGTAGATCATAAAAACACAAATTGTTGGTGTAATGTTTAATTAATTTTTATTTTTTATTTCATTTTTTTATGGTTTTTCTTTTTTGTGTTTCTTTGTGCCTGTTGCCTTTTATATCCAATTAAATTGAGTTTTGTCACGTTTTGTTGTGTTTATGCTTCCAAGGTGGTACAAATAGCGTACATAATAAGGGAGGCAGGGTGTATACATACATATATATAATTTTTATAGAATTTTTTAACTATATTGTATAATTATTTTCAAATACTTTGAAGTGTGTTTCCTCCTAGAATATATATATATATATTTTTAGATAGATATATAATGTAAATCGTCATTTCATTTCTAACTGCTTCGATTCCAATAAAATCAATGCTCACATCTTTAATGAATATTTTGAAGGTTTTTCTATTTTGGAATATTGTTAGCAATTTTATTTTGTTTGGTTTTTGTATTTTTGCATAAACTACAAGTTAAGCGTGTTTTAACCGATTATCAAGCAATTTCAACTTTTGTATATATATATATATATATATTTATATATATATGTATATATATTTATATATAGAATTTTTTTATGTATAGATATAGTGTAATAAGTTGTTTTTGGCTTTAGTCTTAGATTCACTATGTTTATATACGTATATATTGTTGGTTTTGTTGATTTTTTTCATCAGCTATTTTTTTTAGGCATAATGTAATTTTATATAAGAGAACCTTTTCTTGTTTTCCTAAAGTTAATAATTAATTAAAAAGCAAATTACATAATTACTTAATTTGTTGTTTTGCAAACGACATTAAGAAAAAAAACAACCTGCACACAATTTAAAAACAATAATAATAATAACTAATAATGATAATAGTTACAATACGCAAATAATAAATTAATTCAAAACTTGAGATTACAACAAGACTGTACAGATTGTGCCTATTATTAAGCGTACTTAAAAAGCAAAACAAAACTAAAAAACAATCGTAGATAAAAAACTAATTTTTCAAAGCGGGCTAGAAAAAAAATAATTTGCACATTTCAATATTTTTTTTTTTTTTTTTGTTTTTCTTTTTGTTTTAGAACTATAAAACTAAGCGTCATTCAAAACTTGCCCAATTATACTTTTGCTATACACAGCGAGAAATTTACGCTTACTTTTTAAAACTAATTATTACGAACAAACAGATTAAACATATTTTATGAATTTTACAATTAATACAATTTAAAAAAAAAAAACAAACTTGTTTTGAAGATTATAAAATTTAACTATGCGTTTTTTTTTTTTTTTTTTTTTTTTTTAGATAACCCCCGAAACGGATTTTTCATAGGGTGTGCCCAGAGTATCGCGTCGTCGGGGCAACGTGCCGCTGGCTGTAAGCGGCGCCGATTCCGGACAGCCCAGACCCACAAGCAGCTCCACAAGAGCCGTTGTATCCTCCACATTGTACTGTGGTGCGGGTATGCCACCATTAGCTGAGGGTGCTGGGGCCGGAGCTGGGGTGCCGGCTGCCAGAGCAGCGGCTGCCTTCATCGACTTGGCCGTGGCCAGGGATTGGGCGGCGCGTGCATAGGCCAAACAGGTGCGACCCTCATGATCCGTGTGTTTGATGTTGGCGCCGTTCTATAAAATTGTACAACAAATTAATACGCATTCAATGGGTGGATTCTTTTTTCGCTTAACTCACCCAGACAAGCAGCTGTGCTATGGCCAGATTGCCTATGGCACAGGCCAGCAGCAGCGGGGTGCGCACATCCCTGGCGCTCACATTGGCATTGGTCACCTCTGCCTGGCAATTGGCCAATATGGAGACAATCGACTTGATGTCCGCCCTGATGACCGCCTCAATGAGCTGCTGGCCCGGCGAGGCGGCATTTACATGATTGCCACTGCCCAAGGGCGTGAGAAACTCCTTGGCCTCGTATTTGCTGCGTATCCAGCGTTCCTTCTCCTCGTGATTGGCCAACGCTGTCGGTTTGACACGTTGCCGCGTATTCGATTCCCACACAGAGTTTGCCAGGCTGTTGCCAATGGCCAGCATGACGCTCAGATGCGGCGCTCTAAAGGGCAGATAGACGGGAAATTAATAACAGTTTGAGGTTTTTTTTTGTTGTGTAACTAATACTTACGGCCAATCATCGAGGCCCAGGGAGCGCACCTTGGATATGTGCGAACCTAGATTCCGATGTATGCCCGAGCACTCAATGCACATGAGCACGCCCAGATTGAGACTGGCCCATTCGGGATCTGAAAGGGATAAGAGACTCATAAATATGTTTTTTCATTTGTTTTAGCTGAGTACCCCTAATGCGGATATCCAGCAGCAATGCGGAGAATACTGCAATAACTTTGGCCTAACTTATGAATACCCCTATTATATTTGTCGCTACCAAAGTTGCGTGCGCCTACCCCTCGCTCTTAACAAGATGACGCCTCAGCAAAAAAAAAAGAATCTTAAAAACTCAATCGATACTAAAAATACTCTTTCCGTATGTATGAAAAATCTGTCGATTCTGTTACAAAGAACTCCCTGTGAGTTTCAAGATACGATTAATAAAATAAATCCTAAGACATAATTATTTTACTGTATGTTTTTAAAACTATTGTTAGGATCTTGTGATGCCACTTCGGAAGAATCTGCAGAATCTAGTTATGACACTTCAATAGAAAGGAATACTCTTTAAAGGGTCATAGTTTCTCTTATTATTAAGGAGTCCTTGTATTCACAACTAGAATTTGGAGTAGCTCCACAATATCTAGAATTACTGAAGACTCCCCTATTTAGACTATCATGGGACTATCGCTTAACTAAATTATTTTCCCACTCACTTGGCGCTCCACAGTCGACGCAATGCCCATTGCCGGGCACCCGCTGCCTGATGGCCAGCATGGCGGCCAGTTCCGTGCTGGTTGCCTGCTTCGTTTTGCTGCTCTCGATGCCCTGCAGGCTCTTGAAGATCTCCTGCTCGACGGCGGCGACCCATTCATCGCGCTCCTCCGAGTTGGCGGCCTCAAAATGCCACTGCTTGGAGTCCAGCGAAACAATATAGAATTCGTAGCCATCATTGTCGTCCGCCTCGTTTGCCTTGACGCTGCTGCTCTTCATGCGGCGATGGCGCTTCTTAACGTTCGGCGTTTGGGCCTCCAGTTTGCTGGCGGGCGCCTCGCCGGCTGTAAAAGTCTGCGAATTGGAATTCGACATGGCAATGCCCTCGTCTCCACTCGTCTGCTGTGAACTATTCGATTTGAGAGGCTCAATGCCAGCACCTCCGCTGGCGCCTCCACCACCGCCGCTGCCGCCGGCAGCACCAGCACCCAGCAAAGAGAGTTTCTCGCTCAGCTTGCGCTGATTATCCTTGGCCAGCGTTAAGCAGCCAATGCCCTCACTGAGCGTGCCCTGCGTGCTCCGCTGTCCGTTGGTCAGCAGCGAGCTGGTCAACGCACTGTTCGTAATTATGGACTTGGAGCCGCGGGGCTTCTGGCCGGGCACCTTGACGGTGACATATTGCAGCGGTATCTCTTTGCCGTGCACATCATCCATGTAGTCGTGCAGCGAGGGATGATAGGTGAGCCGCCCATCGTCGCAGAGCGTCACGTACTTCTTTTTCCACTCCTTGTTCAAAGATTTGCTTGAGCGCTTGTACAGATAGCCCTGTTTGATGGGTATGGAGCGTCCGCTGCCCAGTTCGCTGCTCTTTGGCTCCTTGTCGTTCTTCTTGGAGGAGGAGGGTATGAAGAGATTTGAGCGCCGTCGACTTTTACGGCTTGTCGTGGGCGTCGATGTGGGCGTGGGTAGATCCTTGCCAGGTGGCGGCGCCAAATCGCGTGGATCACGCAGCTGCACCTGACTGCAGTCGCCGGGCAGCGTCAATTGCTGCTGCTGCTGCTGTTGTTGTTGTTGTTGTTGTTGTTGTGCAGCTGCCCCAGGATTGTATTTGGTTACGTTGTTGTTCTCATTCGTGGAGCCGGCTGCGCTCGCCTGCAGAGACCAGAGCTTCTGCTCCGCCTGCGCAAAGTCGGCGCTCATGCGCAATGGCAGCTGCTGCTGCTGCGCCCGCTGTCCATTTGTGGGCGGCGGCTGGAATGTGGCCAAGCCCAGTCGTGTGCCCTGCGGTGTGGTTGGCCGCGGCGGCTGCATCGCTGGCGGCAGCGGCAAACGCTGAGAGAGTATCTTCTGGCAGGCTATGTATTGGAAGAAAAAACGGAGTTCAATTGTTGAATTCAATGTGTATTCAGTGCGCTTGCAACTCACCATCTTGAAAGACGCGTTCCACATTTAGGCCGTAGGTGGCGCAGGTCTCGTAGTAGGAGCAGCGCTTCAAATCGCTGGCCAACTTCCTGGCGCGCGTGTCATCGATAACACGCGGATTCCGCTCGCTGATGGCGTCTGTGTGGCAGATCGGACAAGTGCAAAATTGGGTTAGACTGAGTTAAGCAAGTGGTAATAAGTTGTTATGAAGAAATCAAATTAATTCCATCGATAAATAGGCTTCGATAAATTTATCGAAATATAAATGGACTTAAGTAGGCGTAAAATTCTCTCTTAAAAAAACGGAAGAACATTTAAATTGAAATTCTTGAACAAAATTCGAGGAAAGAGTCATTGGTTATTGCTGTTCTATATTTTTGAAATAAGTTTATTTGCTTTGACATTTTTAAACAACATTTTGATTAATTTATCGACGCAAATAACCTGTGCGTAAATTATCGGAGAGTATTATCGTTTTGCGAATCAATGGATCTAATTTTGATTATGCTTAAAGGTTTTTAGCACTGATCAATAAATGATTTATACGAACTATTTTTTATAGTTTGTTTTTTTTTTTATACTTTTCAAAGAATTTTATTTTTAATCTGAAGCTTCTTCGTAAAAATAATTTTGTAAAGCCTTTTTAATATGTTCCGATATAATCGAAATGAATCAGAATTAATCGAAAGTATATTTTGTTCCAACGTATCTTTTTTGCTATCTGCAGATTGAAATATTTTTAATCTAAAGTGAATGCGTTATCATTTATATATTGTTGGATTATAATAGAACGGGTTCCCTTCGATGTATGCAATTTGACTTGGTTTAGTATAGAATTGAGCTTACCCTGTGTGCCGACCAATATCATGGGTATATCCTGTCCATTGCGAAAATGCGCCATTTTGGTATAATAATTGTAGACGGTATTAAAGCTGCCCTCGTTCTCCAGGCTAAACACAAAGATTACCGCATCCACCCAGCCAGCGAACTGAAAGATTTGAGGTAGAAAGATTGAAATTAACGCAAGAGAAGCATGTGCAAAATATGAAAAAAAAAAAACGAAAATATAAAAAGTGAAGAACAAAAAAATGGAAGCGAAAAACTTTTGGCCGCGAGTCCTTGACTTTGTGTGCGAAGTAAACAAAAATTGCGGCGTCTGGCGACGGGCAGCGCACAAAAGGCGGAAGCGCGCCTAACAATGGACAACAACAGGGCTGCGAGAGGAAGGGCGCGAGAGAGAGGTGAAGAGGGGGAGGGGGTAAGGGTTAAGCAGTCCCAGAGTCTCAGGACACGCAACACACACACTTGAGAAAGTCGCTAATGAAGCACTTGAAGCCTTTGGCAGCAGTCCTTGCCGTGTGCTAAACATTCAATGATTTTTGTATGCCTCAAACACACAAACACACGCACACACACACACAACACACTCACACAGACACACATGGAGGCACTCGCAGGATAATGAACTTTTACATTGGCTTGTAAACAGGCGCTTTGTGTTTACTGCGCAGGATTCATGTGTCCTGCGCCGAATACACTATCGATTGTTAAGCCTCCGTTTTAAAAACTAAAACAATTTTTTCTTTTATATTCACTTGACTCACACAGTACAATTTTAGAAATTCTATCAATTATTTATGCCCATATATTTCACGAGCAGAGCGTGTGTCCTGTGCGACAGTTTGAGCTGCACTGCAGCGAGCTTTCAACTGAAGGTTTTCAGAAAATGCCGCCCGCCAGCGATGCCAGTCGACAAACAACTGGCGTCAGGCTCGTCGCGCTCGTCGTCCTCTGGCCTCGTCCTGGCGTTGTCCTCGGTGGGTGTTTGCCCACCCGGCCGCCGGCGGGCGCCCGCTTGCCTGGGTGGGTGGTTGCCGCCTTTTTTTCTTGTTCTTTTTTATGATTTGTTGTGAAAATGTATGCGCAAGAGGAAACAGGAAAGCAAAAGAAGAGCATGAAAAAAATGTTGCTGCAAATGCAACGGCGACACGGGAAACTCACACACACACACACACACACACACACACACACACACACACAGAGTTAGTGACAGTTCAGACACACAAACACACATACACCAGGAGACATTTGCCTGACAACAAAACAATGCTCACAGTCTGGCTCATGCAAATAGAAACAACAATGGGGCTCAACTTTTATCTGGGTTAAGAACTATTCAAAGCATCTGCTCAGCCTGACAAATCGTAAAACTAAAAGAAAACCTGCTTACAATTTGCCTGATGTCAAGCTAAAGCTCCATCTTTGGATGAACGTAAAAGACAGAGAAATCATTTTGCTGAAAGCACACAAAATGCATTTGGCTATTTGCAGAGAATATTTCTATGGCTTTCAATTATTTGAACAGACTGCATTAAAGACTCCTGGCGCACTCTTAAAGATAGATTTAAACTTATCTATCTGGAAAAGCTCTTTCTAATTTGCAATCGAAATGTTTATATGATACATGAATTTTCTTTCATAAAGCACTTTTCTGCTTTCTCATAACTAATATCTAAAAGAAATATTGAAGATAAACAATATTATAAATATTTTAATTTTCAATTTAGCTTTGAAGTTTGGTTAGTTAATTTTCAATTAAAATTGAGATTGGGCATATTTTTATAGCATGCACCATATTTCATTAATTTTCTTGATGTTCTGCCTATTCAAATAGGTATTTAATTTCGATTCTATAATGCTTCTCTACCGTTTCTATTACTATGAACTTGTCTGTTCTAAGCGGCCCCCATCCGAAAAAATAGAATAATATGTCGAATCGCAACTGTCGCAGTGTCGCAGAGTCGCATGCAATATTGTCGTCGCGTATATGGTAATGATATCCTGCTCCGCTTCGAAAAGAAAATAAAAACAAAGCGCGACTGAGTGGCGTCGCGGCGCGAGTGAGTGATTTCTTACGACGTGCACAATACCCTGTAAAAATAGAACAAATTAAAGAGAGTCCTTTCTGCGCGCAAGCACATAGTTTTTACGAAGGGGTTTTTTTCATGCGACTTTACATTTAAAGCAAACTCGGCAAATTTGAGTGAGATTGAAAATGCATATCCGTTGGCAAATACAGGGTATGCCACGGCTTAGCAATTCTAGCTTCAACATTTTGTTGCCTCTTGTTGTTGTTTGAGAGGGTGGCTGGCTGCTTCATGGGGTTGTTGTTAAATAGAGGGTTATTTTTTTGATGAAATATGGTTTATTATGTTGCATAAAGATGCGAATGACAGAAGTTAGTCAAGAAATGGACATTAAATTAGTTAAATTGCGGGAGAGAAACGATTTGTGCGACCAATTGAGAAAGAGAGGGTGCCAATGAGAGAAGGAGAGAGAAAGAGAGAGAGAGAGAGAGTAGCAGTTTGACATGCACTGTCTGGCAATGATTATGCACTTGCAGAAACCAAGTGAAGCTCAAACTGTTGACTGCATATCAAACTGTAAAAGGCTATCACCAGCAAATATTTCCCACAAATAATCAATATCGTTTTACGACTGTCAAACTGTAAAGTGATTGTCAAATTATTAAATGTAAAGAAAAATACGTCAAATATATTTCTGATACGCAAATATTAACTGAAATTGATTTTCTCACTCTTCTGTGCATGTCAAACTGTTACACGCCTTTCAAACTGTACACCATTTGAAAATGTGTGTCAATCACACGCTTGAATTGCAAATATTAACAACATATAATTACAAAAAACTAGATAAAAAGAAATTAATTTGCATAAAAATTGCTAAGCCCTAAAAATAGTCAATTGCTAAGCCCAGAGATATAGCTGAGGTATTATGCGATTTTAAGGGTCACGTCGCGTGGCAGGCACATTTTTTTTTTATTTTTTTTAAAGAGCAACCCCTACACCCCAGCCTAGCCCAACCGCAAATAAAAAAAAGAGAGCCTGTTGAAAAGCGAAAGCAGCTTAAAAATTATAATCCACACTTTCACCCTTTAAGCCGGAGGGGTCGTAGGGTTTGCCAGCTCAGGGGGGAGGTCGCGCAATTTCGGTGAACAAATAAACAGGGTCTATAGAATTATTTTTTTCGCAAATATTGTGTCCCGAATGCGAATTTGAACGGAACAAAAGCTTCTCAAGCAGCGAATCAATGAGTCAAAAAAAAAAAGTAAAATAAAATAATGCTCCAGGAATTCGAAACGTTCCATAGAAATGTAAATAGCTCGCGGTGTGGTTCCCTTTGCAGTTAAATAATATAGGGGGCCTATACTATTTGCTTGAAAGATTGCAAAACTGCATTTTGGCACAGTTGCCGCACGAGGGGGTTGCAAAGGGCGCTTCGGCTGGCTCAACTTTAACCTTTCCCTGAGACTAAATGATATTGGCCAGTTGCCGCATCACGTATCTTCCTAACGTGTAAAAAAGACCTTTGGCCAGACCCCAAGCAAGAAAAGTGTCGCAATGATGCAAGACAGCTCTAGTCTAGACTGCATGACTGGCAGACACCCTGTAATCAGCATGGCAACTTTTAACTGTCAGCCCAAGCTGCGAGCTGTGAGTTTTCCTTCAGCTGCGAATATGAAATTTTATATTTATTTATGTTAAATTGTATGCACTTAATAAATTTTGTATGTTCGTTCTTATCGCCGCATTCAATTGCCTAAAAGTGCACTACTTCGTTAAACATTTACATTTTTAGGGTATAGGGTATTAAAAGTCTCGCAAGATCAAAATGCTCAAACAGCAGCTGGGTCCAGGCCAAAACCCATCGCAAAGGGCCCTGGCTATAGTTACCGATTGTAGCTTGTTGCCAAAGGTCGAAGTTCGATTGAGTGAGTCACAGGGCAGAGGGCCAATAGAAGAGAGGGCGGCAGACATCTCAACTTTGCGGCCAGTTTTTGCCAATGAATGTGAAAGCTGACAGAGCAGTCAGAAATTTTGCGAAGCGAGAAAATAAAAACAACTTGATAATTGGCAAAAACTGCGACAAATGGAAAGTTCTGCAGTGCATTTGGTCAGAGTTGCCAGGCGGCGAAACTAAAGAGCTTATGCAGACTAAAAGTTGCAACTGTCTGCCAGCTGAGAACACTTGAAAAAAATAAATAAAGCACTTTATAGTCAGGACTGAGTGCAGCTCAGAAACTAGTGTCCACCCAGAGTTTTTTTTTTTGCGCAGTGTAGGCAACTATGGGCCACACAAGCCCAAGAAAAGTTTCCTTTCTTGCTGTCTTTTTAGCCGCCCCGTGTCTCAGTTAAACCCAGGCTGACCTCAATTCAAATATTTACAAGATGATGAGGCTCAAATTTGTTTGTAGCACAAACTTTTCTCGCCCGCTACAAAGTGGGAGTAGAAACCACCCCCAAGACAAAACAACCGCCACCCCACAAGCAGCCCTTCTTGGCCAATATATCATCTAAGAAATATCATGTATACAGTATGTTAGATTGCGTTATATTTTTTGGGGTAAAGTTCCCCGCAGCTTACCTGCATTTCCGGGGCGCCGCCCTCATCACGTATGAGCAGCAAATAGCTTTGTCCGTCGATGAAGACCTCCTTCTTGAAGCGACCACCCTCGGGTGACTCTTCCTGCATATAGGAGCCGGTGAGATAACGATGCACCAGCGCCGATTTGCCAGAATTTAGAGAGCCTACAATGCCCAGCCTCAAGTCTGGCACCGAGCGTGATATAGTCCATTCCTGGCTGTTCACAAAGGAATCTGTTGAGAAGCGAAAAGATGAAAAATCAAATAACCATTAGTAAGGAAATGTTTTTGTTGCTGTCGACTGAAAACTAGTTCGACACGACGCTAATTAGCGAGGAACTCGTTTGCAACTCGTGACACATCTTTTTGACCTACAAGCAAGGGCGGCCAAAAAGTATTTGGTCGTTTTTTTTTTATTCCTCATTAGTAATTCTTCTTATGCAAATGCCAGAACTATAGCAAATATATATGTATATATCATGTTTGTGCCTGGCTTTGATTGACAGCTTTAAAAAAAGTTGAATAAATGTAGCAGCCACTTTTCAGAGTTTTCGGCAATTGTTTTGTGCCCCAAGGGTGCAAAAAATAAAAGAAAAAAACTGAGAGGAAGAAGAAGCCTTTTAAATTGTCAGTTGCTTGAACACTTTTTTGATTAAAATTAGCTCAGCTCAGTCCGCAGAGCTTGCTCAATCTTAAGATCTACAGTCAGCTGGCAGCGGTCTACGGTCTGGCTTTTTGCGATTACAAAAGCTTTCAAGGTCAGACTTTATGACAGACAGTTGCCAGGCAATTTAACAGGGCAAAACGTTTTCAATACAGAACCTTATCGCACAGGTAATGTGCCTGTATTTGTGAGCTTTTGCTGGCTTCACATAACAGGAGCCAGTGAAAGTGAGCTTTCGCTATGCGTGGGCTATGTCTGTGTGAAAGCACGTCTCAGCACAATCATGCGCGTGCATTGGTGAGCCGAAAGTACTGAAAGGCAGCTTTTATGTGCGTGAGCCGTGTCTGTGTAAAAGCTCGCCTACTCCCAGCTCAATTTGCATACGCTATTTATTGCGTACTTCTAAATGTTAAAGCCAAGGAAGGGAAAAAATGAAATAAAAACAACCATAAAAGTGCCAAATACTCGTAAATCTTGGCAAGCCCAAAACATTAGACTACGAGTGCCACGATCAATTTCAGTCCGCCCAAGGAGGGGCAGCAGATTTTGTTGTACGGTTTGGAAGGAGGAGTGACAATAGAAATGGTGATCCTTTCGTTGCTGACCAGTTGATTTACTAGGCAGCAAGGACACGTGAAAATTGCTCTATTATGAGTTGTTAAGAGCTGGCTGAGTAAACAGTGAAGGGCTGGCTCTTCCGCACTCCAGACATGGATATGGACAGCCGAACCGAGCGCGTCTCAAGGGTGACACGTAGAAACTTGTTCCAGTCGACAAGCAGTACATGGGCTTGTTAATGGACTAAGGACGAAAATCTGTGACTGCTTTAAAGCACAGTGTGTACACGCTAACAAGTTCAACTGGTTTTTGTGCTTTGTTTTTGTTTTCTCTGAAGCGCTCGTCTTGACCATAGCGCAAAATTACAAATTAAAACGAAATAAATATGCCTTTTGTTGTATAATGCAACCCAAAAACGAAAAAAAAAATTATAAGAAGCAAATACAACAACAAGCTGCTTTGTGAAACTGATATGCCCTATAAATGTGTATGCATATAGAGTGGTAGCAAAAAAAATTAGCGCGGTTTTGCAATTTGCATGGCCATAAAATGAAATCAAATCAAATCAAAAATGGCGGCAACTGGTTCTAAGCATAAAAAAAACACACACACACCTAATTAATGGCTGCGATCAGCCTAAAGGCGCCTAAAGCAGTTACAGAAGAAGAAGAAAAAAATAGAAAATAAACCGCCAGTTACAAATGCGTCTTTAAGTTTGACTAATGATGTCAAATGTCTGTCGAGCAACCGATCGGCTTAGGCGTAAAGTTCAAACCGCGAGGGCCAGGGAAGGTGTTAAGATGGGAAAAGCAAGGCAAAGAATTAGAATGGAAACCTTCCCCTCTAAGCCAAACGACATGCTGGCCGAGCTCAGCTCTCATTTCCCATTGCTCGATCGTAACGATCGTAACTCAAACTCATGTCAAATGTCGCCATCGTTGTCAAAATGCCCAAACTAATTACGTATGCAAACGAGCCACGACCCAAAAGACATTTGCACATTAGTTTTTCTAGATTTCCGATTTTCTTTCTTTCTCATTTGAACTCCCTTGAGAAAAGGGTTAGAGTTATCCTACGGTTTGTTTGTTTACTGTTTACTATTTACCATACAGCCCATTTGCGCTTACAATTTCAGCTTGTTACACAAAGGCGATTCGGGGATTTGCGTCTTGATGTGGGTTAAGCATTTTAATTAGCGCACAATATGATGAAGAAAAAAGAAGCATATTCATTTTATTTTCATAAAATATTGGAATTGTTATGCAACTGTTATCGTTATTGACCCCCCTGACCCATGTGCGGCGCTTACTTTTATTACCGACAGCTGTAAGATACACGATTTTATCAACATTTGAAGCGTGCCATCAGAAATGTATACATAAATGTGCTGGCGCCCACCAAGGATCAGGTTCAGGAATGTCATAAATTATCCTTGACCATTTAGTGGTTTACGGTAGTCAACTATCAGCACGCAGCTAGGGTTTTACGTGGCGCCTTCAGCAAATGCAGCTTGGGTTTGCTTTAGCTATAAAAAAAAAACACACTTTAGTAACTCGCTTATTGTCTGATCAAACTCGAGGAAATTTGAGATGTGAGCTCAGAATGTGTTAAGTGTGCATTGTGAGCTGTAAAACAAGAGACTTAGACAAGATAGTTAAGTACAAAAAAAAGGGAAAACTGTAAAAAACGTATTTTAGCGACATTAAACTTGATACGAACACGATTAAATTCAACGTCAGTTGTGTTTTTTATGAGCTATAACAACAAATGCAGCTTGCATGCTGTTAAAATATAAATTAAAAAACCACACTATTCTAACTCGGCTATTAGGAGCCCCAAGTCTTGGAAATTTGAGATGTGCAAAGAGAATATATAAAAAGAGTATTGTATTAGCAAATGCGCTTCAATTAAGCTCAAAATGGCAAAAGGGAAAACGTTTTTAAACGACTTTTACCTTGCGTAGCATTTAAAATGCAGCCTTGTTCATTAGCAAACCCAAATGCGAATGCATTTAACGCTAATTAGAGCCCACAAAATTGCACATGCATTGGCATTTCTATGATGTATTAGAAGTATTTCATGTTTTGATAGGTTTTGAGGCGAATAATGCATTTTTAATAAGCCATAACCATAAGCCACATCAAATTTACTTTGATATGGGGGTAATTTCTTATTCATCTTTATGTATGTGCATGGGGACATACTATAAATCACATTCAGCATTTGCATGAGCCTACGATAATATTTAGGTAGGCTGGCCGTGTCGACATTGCGGCACAGTGGACCGTCCAAGAAGAACAATAAATCAGGCCAGGAAGCGACCGCTGATGAGGCTGCTGCTGCTGAAATTTCTTTCTCTTGGGTTACCTTTACGTTGGCGTAGGACGCACATCTGCTCCAAAATCTGATTTACTTTCTTTGTGTTTGCCCAGAGATCAGTGAAAAAAGATCAACGAAAACTGGTGGCAAAAGCAAGCAAAAATTTTTTGTTGAAAGAATATTTCGTTTCTTCACTCCCAGCAGACGAGACAAAGGCAACGAAAATTAGCCAAAGCCCAAAGAATAAAGTAGGCAAAAGGAGCAAAGGGCGATCGCACAAACAAGATTAAAACGGGGCAAACACAACACGTTGGAAGAGAGTAGGAGAAAGGCAAAAGATAAATCGAAAACCAACTGCTGCTGCTGCTAAACAGAGCATTGGAAATGTTAGTTTAGAGGAATTTTTTTTTTATTTTTAACATATTTACTTAAGAAGGAAGTTCAGGGCTTAAACTCATCACGCTTGTGTATTGATAAACGTAAACTGCGTTTAAGCGTATCTAATAGTATGTCTAAATATCTAGGTATATATAAACATATAGAAAAGCTAACCAATTCATTTCGATTTGTTTTTAAAAACTACATTTTTTGACTATGGTCAATTTATAGAGTATTTTTAAAAAGATATCGTCATTTTTATGCAGTTTTCCAGTATGTGTTGCTAGTCGCTAGGCGCTACTAAAGTATCTCATACATGACTCACAATTAAGTTAGGGCTCAGCTAAACAGTTACATTATGCTATAATTACATATAAAAGACTGTTATAAGTTTTGTGTGACAGATAGAGTGGCAGAGGGAGGGCTGGGGGTTTTGGTGTGGCCTGCTCATCCAACTGTTGTCTACTTATTGGAAAAGTTCTGCACGAATGGCTGGCGACACTTCAAGGTTCGGTCACGCAATGCTCACAGCGTGTAGCTTCAGCTACCTCAAATGTATCTGACAGATACGTCACATGTCACGTGCAGGAATTTCATATGAATAATAAATATGCCGCAGCGCGGTTGCTGTTTTGAATACTTGCTATGACTTCATCAGCAAATAATTTTCGATAATATATATCTAAATATTTATATATATATATATATTTTTTTTTTTTTCAAGAAGTGGCAGTTGTAGTGTAGTTGAGCTGACATGAAAATTTACGCATCATTAGCAAAAATAAAACGAAAAAATAAACAAGCTGCTGAATGAATAAGTGAATAGTTTTGAATAGGCTGCGAGTGTGCGGGGGTGAATAACATGTGTTGTTTGGATTTTGATAAATTGAATTGAAGATGCGTCGGAGCCAATTGACTTTAATTTGTTGTCCAAACACACACGCACACACACACACACATGCAGAGTTGAAGGTCGCGTTAAGTGGCTCAAGATCCTCGCGCTTGAACCCTAACACAGACCACGCCCTTCCGACAAAAGGGGTTAATTCTGAAGATGCGCTGTCATTGGTGCATCAAGATTTATGGAGCTCAGGTAAAAGACGTACGATTTATATCTAGATAAATTTATGCATAGAACTCGAAGGCCTTTACGCGCACTTCCATTTTTGGCAAACTGGAAATGCTAAACAAAAAACTTAAAAGGCGAAATGAAAACAGAAATAAATTAGTTACCCGATAAATGCGTATTAAACATTTAGTTTTTGCCTTTTTTTTATTATTATCAGTCAACGCTACGCGCAGTCGCTTTCAACTT